ATCATTTCTGTTGTTTTTGTTGTGCGTGTGTAATGTAAAGGATCGTAGCATCCATTTAAGTACAATACGGAAAGAAGGGTGGAACTGCATTTCAGACCTGTTATAACTGAAAGCTTTACTAAACATTATTTATTGTCATTTAGGTGCAAGAAGTATTTCCCCATCCATTGATAAATCAGTTCAGTTCAGTTCAGTTCAGTTCATTTTATTCAAAACCATACAAAACATGATATAATCTGTTACATGAAAGAGAGACTGGTAATAGTACATCAATCAACATATTCTAACTTAATTACATCATAAACTGAATGGTTTTAGGACCCCTTTAGAAGCTAAGCTTGTGAGCGGGGCCCTATAGTCAACAAAATACATACATTTACAGTAAAAAGAGTGTTACGTATGATTATATAATGGATGAAAATACTAAGCTACAGAATAGAACATACAAATACTCACACACACACACACACACGCACGCACACACTCACGCCCATACACAGCAAACACACTGACGAGTAGGTCCTAAGTGGTCAAAAAGCATTTCAGAATAAGAAATTACTAAGATGCAAATAAAAACTATGTCAGTCTTTCAAGCAGGTACGTTTTAGAGAAACTTCTAAACCTAGAAAGAGTTGTACTATTTTTTTATATCATCAGGCAGACTGTTCCATTCTTTAATGCAAGAGATATGGAAAGAGGTCAGAGTGACATTTGTTCTTGCAAAAGGCGGTCGAATAAGACACCTTTGACGTGTATTATAATTATGAATTTGCGAGTTCTGACGGAATAAATCTTTTAACGTACATTCATGAGGCATAGACTTAAGATTAAACATAAACAATATGCAATTAAACGACACAAGTCCACTTAGTGGTAACATTCTTAGTCGAAGGAACAATGGAGAACTTGGATGTCTATGGCCGCGTTTATGCTTCACTTTTGAAGGTAGAATGAGCAATTTGTAACGCTCATCGTAAACGCTCATCGTAATCGCAGTTCCACGGTGTACTGTTCATGCTTACTTCTCTGGCTCCTACAGGCAATTCTCCGTGTGTGGCCTTAATTGGTATTCCAGCTGGATTCGCAAACCTTCACTGTGCATGCTACGTAGACCCACTAGAGGTCAGTGCGTTGACCCCATTTAAACGCGTTTACAAATTGTAAAAGCATCTTTATGTGAGTTTACGATCGGCGATCGTGATCGCCGTTTTTCGGTGATTCTACAAAAGTGAGCATGGACGCAACGGTGTTTTAAACTAAACGCGTAACAGATGCCTGATTCTGGCCAGGAAAAGTGAAGCATAAACACGCCCTATAATAAGAATTAGTGATAAGCCGTATTGCCTTCTTCTGCCATACTCTCAACTTATCAAGATATGACTTAAAAGTGTTTCCCCAAGCAACATTACAATATGTCAAATAAGGAAGAATAATACTATTATATAATGTTATCAGCACTCTTTCAGGTAAAATAAATTTTAATCTAAAAATGACACCCACACTACGGGAAAACTCTGTGCATACAGCATCTATATGATTTCTTCCAAGATAAATGCTCATCCATGGTTAACCCTAAGAACTGCACATTTTCACTAAGCGCAACATCATAGCCTCCAACATGGAAGCACCTGCCCACTCATCCAATGCCTATTCTACACAGAATATTTACGGTGCTGAGAAACATTGCATCTTCAAACATTCGATGGAGCGTACCCACGGAGCGAGAACAATTTCATTGTGATATGCTTAAGGTTTGCGTATAGGGTTAACGTGTTAGAACACAATGAACAATTATTATCAGTGTAGGGTATAACAAATACATAAACGTTATCTTCTTTGAGGTGGCCTTTGGTGGGGGTGGGTTGCAGAATCATGTTAATATCATTAAAAATAAATGTATGCAATTTATATTTTTTGATGTACATGCATTTTCTACAACTTCCTCTTATACTTTTTTCTTCATGTTTCTCCTCTCCGTTTTCCTGAATTCATGTTATATTCTGTTTTCTTATTTTTGCTGCCCAAGCAATCGTATCTTAGTAACTATATATGCATGAATTTCAATATTGACAAATTAATTGTAACTGTACTTTATGTTTGAAATATGCAATGAGTGTTTTATTTGTACACATGATCAATTCAGCCATTGGGCTGCGACACATGTTTTTTTCAATAAACCTTGGTTCAATTCAATTCAATTCAATCATTAACCCTTCAATCATCACCACGTGAATAATAACGATTCTAAATCGGTGTATTTTCTTATTTTTATTTTCAGCCCGTTTTATATTGAATATTACCAACCTTTGATCGAGATAATAAAGAATACAGGTGAGTTTGCCACTAATCTTTTATGGTAGGTAGGATCATAAAGTGAAGACATATGAAGTTTTATCTTTAAACAATTTTGAATTAATACAAATTTCACTGTTGATACACACAAAATACACCACAAGTCGTTGACGTACATCACCGTATTAGTTAAAAGAATGATTAATTAAATAAAATGATGTTACTAGCCAAAATGCCAAAACGCATGACTCATTATGTAGGTTGTTTAACCCGTTGACTACTGAATTATCTTATTCCCATAGGCTTTACACAGGGACCCCAAGCTTCCCGTAATCAATGGGTTAACTTTGTTTACGTATATGGTGTTTTGTGTTATTAGCACTGTCATCAAATGTGTAGGTATCTAACAATAATGACCCCTGCTACACAATGATGTTTCATCAGTAATGAATGGAATATGAAAGAAAACAACTATTACTCAATTTATATCAGAATGAAATTTCTACAAGTAATTTCTTTTTGTTTATTAATCATTATTCACATATTTAAAAAACAGGGTAGCTCATTCACAATCGTGTTCAACCATAAAGCCCTGTACATAAACAGAGAGAAAGAAAGAAATTAAGGATATACATCAAAAACATGGCCTATCCACATATACACAATGAAGTCAAATTTAAGAAAGTTGGGACATAGTTGGGGTAGTGATCATAATTTTTTTCTCGTATTTGACCTCGAAAATGTGAAAATCGTGCCGACCAATATCTCGCTCAGTGAGACGGGGGGGGGGGGGGGGGAAGTGAGTATCATTTTTGGGGGGTATATGACCCCGAAAATGTGAAAATCGAGCCTACCAATATCTCGCTCAGTGGGGGGGGGGGGGGGGGGAGTATGCATCATTTATTTTTTTGTATTTGACCCCGAAAACTTTTTTTTTTTTTTTTTAATTAAAAAAAAAACAGGGGGGGGGGGGGGCCGGGCCCGTCAGGCCCCGGCCCCCCCCCCCGTGGATCCGCGCCTGGGGAGGTCGATCTAATAAGATACCAAATCGAGACATCAATGAGTTAATGCTTTCTGAGTGCAGTATGTACAGATGGGAAAGAAGAAGAAAAAGAAGAGGTATCAAGGGGATTATGTCAAAGTCAAGAAATAACGAAAAATAGATCGAGAGTAGAGTTAAATAATTATGCTACAGTACATGATTTAACCTTGAAAGCAAGTATTTATCTAAGTTTTCTATATTATCCATATTAATCACACACTCTTAATTCTGATCACGCTGATATCGTGGACTCTTACAAGCCCCTTTTTCGTTCATTTTGTAAATTATATACTTTTTCCTTTCTTCGTAAATTGCATGTTAATACTTACCTCTGCTTGTGTAGGCATGTGTAAATATGTTTGATAGGCCGATGTGACAACACTATTTCGCCATTAATTTGATTATCATACTATCCATTGAAATGCTTGAACAGGTTTTTTTTTTCTATTAGATTTAATATGCATGCACATATCATATCATGTCCTCGGTTGGTAACCAATCGAATAATCACGGTGATTTTACAAGAGTTTGTGTTTTGAGACCATCCTGTTAATTCATTTGAAACGGGCATGGTGTGTACTATATACCATTCCCCCAATTTACCCGCTCCCGTGTTGACATGGTTGACCTTAATCATCTGATCATGGATCTACTTGTGATACATAAGGCCACTATCTGACAATCCACAGTCATCAATTTTAACATTAAAAATATGAAAAGATTATGAAATTGTATTAGGATGAAACATAAATTAAGCATAAAATAGAAATATACCTTCCATTTATCTGCTTGTATACTATCCATTTTCCTTGTACTAGATACAGCTTTCTAATTTTGAGACCAGGCATGGGGTTGATTAAAGTTAAATATGATTATGACAATGCTTGCATCAAATACCGGTATTATATCAATCACACCCAACGTGGTCTCGATTAAATTCATTCAGGTATTAATTATTTGTTACTAAAAAAATATCTTTAGATTTTCTAATCTTGTTTCACCTTTTTTTCCGTCGAAGTTGTTGTACTTGAACATTATGAAAAAAAATATCATCAGTCTATTCTATCATGATTGTCCCGACTAAATTTCCTACCATGAATATTAAATTTCATTTACATTACCACAGTTTTAAATGTATTACTATCTCATTACTCACTTCATTTACTCCTTATACCGGCTCCTCTTCAGTCTCCTTCCTTTATCACCCTTCTCTGTCTCTCCCCCTTCCTACTTTTCTCGCTCGATTTTACCCATTTTTTTTAATGCTAATTAAATATGGCAGGAAATTGTATGCCACTGAGAATGCTGATACAAAACACATAGAGATAAATATTTTCTCCATTCCTTTGTGTCAACCTCCCCCCCCCCCCCTACCCCCGGAACACAAAGTAGAGGCCTATTACGTAAAGCATATGTGGTATGTAGATGTCATAAAAATATAATGACTTTGGACGTAATTTAGAGTTTCAATATGTTTTGATTAAATAGGCCGCGTCCCTCTATGTGTTATATTTCATACCGGAGACACCCCAAAGCGAGATATAAATTGAAGCAGCTCGGGATCACTGATATGTACGAAGTAACTCACCCTGGTACCATTCACTCAGATGGGGATCAGTTGCAGTGGCTTGACCTACTATGTGGATGCCTTAAAGAAGGTGACAGAATGTTCGCAACGATATGCACGAATCCAGGATGTAGGATGCTCTATGAGAAAACCAAGAGAGAGAAGAAAGAAGCAAATCAGAAGATGGTCACAGAGGTCAAAGAGCGAAAACACGAAGCTAAGGAACTTGAACGGAAATTTGAAGAATCATTAGCGAGTCACAAGGGCCTCGTCAAAGTCAACGCGATACTTAAAAGCGAGATGGTACGGGAAAAAGAAAAGCTAAAGCAATTAGGAATGACTTTGAGTGAAAATGAGAAAATGGCAACGCACGCTATGGAGATGTACAAGCTAAGAGAGCTAGAGCTGGAGAAGAAACTAAAATCAAAAGAGCTGCACATCGAAACAATCGTGGAAAACTTACAGGAGACAGAAAAGACGGCAAGACGTGAGGTTGAGCGACTACAGACCGAAAAGGATGACGAAAAGGAAAGAGCTGAGAAAGAGAAGCACTCACTGTCAGCAGAAATGACGAAGAAACTCGCGTCTAAGCAACAGCATGTGGACACTTTGACAGAAACCGTAAGGGAGAAAGAGCGAAATGAGACGACTCTAAGACAGCAAGTTGAAGAGCAAAAGAAAGGGAGAGGGGAAGACAGAGCAAGAGCTGAAAAAGACAAGCGCTCATTAGCAGCAGATATGACGAAGAAACTCGAGTCTAAGCAACAGCATGTAGACACTTTGACAGAAACCGTAGGGGAGAAAGAGCGAAATGAGACGACTCTAACAAAACAAGTTGAAGAGCTAAGGAAAGGAAAAGAGAGAGACAGAGCAGGAGCTGAAAAAGAGAAGCGCTCATTGGCAGCAGATAATACGAAGAAACTCGAGTCTATAGAGCAACATCATGTAGACACTTTGAAAAAAATCGTGGAGGAGAAAGAGCGAAATGAGACGAATCTAACACAACAAGTTGAAGAGCTAAGGAAAGGAAGAGAGGAAGACAGAGCAAGAGCTGAGAAGGACATACGATCAATAGAATCAAGCTGGAAGAAGGAGCATGACTCAAAGGAACAGCTTTTGGAGCAACTTGAGCGTGAGATCTGGAAGCTGAGAACCAAAATTCAACTAGAAAGTGAGATGCGATCAGCAGAGCAGAAGAAGAAAGCAGAGACACATGACTGGAGTTTAATTCATTGGATGATTTCTGGAAAACAAGCTCATGGTGGTAAGACATTATTTTCCACCCTTATAATGTCTATTCAACCTTTAAAAAAAATACATTTTACTATTTAACTCCCATTTCATTTTTGGCCACTTTTTCAAATATTCATAATGTGAAGCCTTTTAAGTATAACATGGTTTTTATAGCTCCATACTCCGTTTTTTGCTACTTTGAATATCGAACTAATTACTGTCAATAATGGTCCTTAATCGTTTCTTCTTTGTTTTTGCTGTCATTATGCCAAAAATAACGCCATTCGATTACATTATTCAAGGAAACTAGAGATATGTAATCCTTGTGCATTGTTTACACTTTAGAAGTTAAACTAACACACAGAGATACAGTCAACGATACAGATCATTCAAAACATTTTTTTTCTTCTTTCAAACTGACTTCATTCCTTTCCGTCATCAAAGACAAATCATCATTTGAGGATAATTCAACCGGAGGACTAGGAAGGAGTGATGAAATATATATACTCTTTACGTGACAATGAACGCATTATTCATCTTATATTGACAAAACTACTTTGGAATGTACGTTTGTGTGTAAAATGAGTGGTGCTGTCAGTAACAGTTCTAAAAGTACGACAGCACTTATGTTCTATGATTTCAAAATCATGTTAGGAATTTCATGACCACCTGTAATTACATAGAAAAAGAAGTGAATACAAAATTAAAAATTCATTTAAAAAAAAAGAGGATCTTAACTGCATTCCAATCTATGGTGATTAGAGTCAAAATATGAAATCTTTTAATGAATTTATATCAATAATATGGGAATGTTGAACATGGTCTCATCGCCGAAAGAACGTTTTTTTTTATCCATTTTCTTCCACCTAAGTAAAGATTTAAATTACTTTTTAAGTGTATACGTCATACCCACGTTCTATGACCGCTTCATGTTTGTCTTTTTATTACCGTGTACCATTCTAGAGAGGAGCCCCCAGATGATGAGTTTGCAGGCATATTACAGCAGATAGCTGACGATCTTTACGATGAAGCCAAGATCGACAGCCTTGCTGGTCAGCTGGGAATCCTACATGGTGATATACAGAGAGCGCTCATGACCAATATGAGGTTCGGCCGTGTTACCAGTGATGGAACTCGCCATATGCTGAAACAATGGAGAAGAGGTGTGTCTAGGGAAGATGAACGGATTGAGCTAAAGAAGGCACTGCAAGCTGCCAAGTTGGTCAACCTTGCAGTCGCAGACCTGTATCTCAGCGAAGGTAACGTATATTTTCATTAAGAACAATAATTGTAGTTTCGTAATAAGGACCCCATTCAGTGCTTCAGCAACATGCTGTTATATTTGGTGTACAATACGGCCCATGTGTTTAGAGCCAGATTTATAGTATTTTCTAAAACAAGTTCATTCCCCACATTTACACTGTTGATATAAATACTAATGTAACGTAATGCAGAGAACATTGAGAAAAGAGAGCTTAGGTACTACTTTAAGTTATAATTTTCCACGTTATAGCTGTGCATACGAAAAAGCCAAGCAGATGCTAACTAGTAACGTCAAGTTCTCTTCGACTACCTGGTAAACATACAAATGAAAGAAATGTTAAATTCACTGCGACAAATTATTTGTTTTCTTTCTTGCTGCCGGTCAGGTGTGGCAGAAGAACAGATCGATGCTGAATATGCCAACGAAGACGTCAATTATCAACAGCTCTCTAATAGAGATGAAACCTCTCTAGAACAGGACCTGACCAAAGGACACACTGACATCCAGGTACTTCAGGAAGCTACAGCAAGCAGTAACAACACTGATCGAGATGAGCCAACAGGAAACATGGCTTCCAAAACCCTGGAGGACTTGACAGATGGAAGTAGGAGTCAAAACCTTGACAAATCACCGGAGTGCAGTACAGAGGAGTTGGATGAATCTGTAGTGACTTCTGAAGAAGTGTCCTCTGAAGAAGTTCATCCATGTGAAGATATGAACATCGTGAGTAGCATTCAACATTCTGAACAATCGCCCAGTCGGGGAAAGCAAGTCCTACCTGAAGATATGTCTGCGATTGCCCCTCTGGTATCTTACGGTGGGAAACCCAACGAGGAATCCACCCCCTTTGATAAAAGCCATGAAGGCGGAATCAAAAGTAATGAAGAAGATCTGATTTCTCAACTCGTTCTTCTTGATACATCCCCGGAGAAAATATTGCTCCTTTTCCTCGTAAAGATAGTAATGGATGTTACCGGGAAAGCACTCAATTTATAAGGAATCACCAGAGAAACTTCATCATGTCAAGTTTACTTACATTATTTTAGCTTGCGACGTTTTAGGTCCACTCCAGGACTCTTCATCAGGATGATTGGTCTTTAGCACCAAATGATTGTTGACCCATGAACACGGTGACGTGGTCGAGGAACGTCGGTATGGTCGGCCTGATGAAGCGTCTATAGACCTAAGACGTCATAAGCAACAAACAAAATAATCTAGTTGACTTTTCTTATATATATATATTATATAATGCCTGGATGGTTGAAAAGAGTGATAGACATAGCCTTCATAAACATTAACTGAACTTTATTGTTTCCAAACACTGCACATATAATTTTAAAAATGTGAATCTCTTAAGATATTGCAATAAAGGCTTGAAGAGCGTAATGTTTCTTAATGTAGAATTGAATTTTCTTTTCGGCAAATTATCTGGATATAGAAATTCGATCAATTTTAGTACAAGAGTCACTTATTATAACCGGAGCAATTTTAATTTATTGTTAGGTTTGATCAATCCTATAATATTAGTCCTTTTCATTTCACAGTACTTTTTAAAAGAAATCTTAATTCGAAACAGAATACTCGAATTATTTCAATTAAAAAAGCTGCAACGATCGTTGTTATTTGTGTATATACTGCCATTTTTAAATAGATAAGTAAATAAACGAATAACGAAATCAATCATGAATGAATAATGAATACGAAAATAATAAATATCTTAAATTATTATTAAACAAATTGATTGTAAAATATATAATACTCTGTACATAAGGATATCTATCACAGTTTTTTTAGAGTTTTTTTTTTTGGTCTCTGTTTTGATATATTTTCCACGTACGTGTATATCTAGACGTACTGAACATACCTGTATCTGTATATTAAGGCTGGTTAGTTGTCATTCGGGCCTTTTTCAGTTTGTCCAACCTTGTCTATGCATATATAACCTGTTTCTATTCTTGTATTCGGTCTCATATAGTCTTGGTCTTTGATGCGCCTGGTATACTTGTCATTTTACAGGCGTCTGTTAGAAATGTTATCGATTTATTCTTCATATTTTTGTGGCCACATACACAATTTATTGTCCGCAAAGTATAACATAGTTTTTTTCTAATGTGACAACTTGGGGTGGTAAGCAAATTGATCATAAAATATATAATACTCTGTACATAAGCATATCTATCACAGTTTCTTTAGAGTTTTTTTTTTGTCTCTGTTTTGATATATTTTCCACGTACGTGTATATCTAGACGTACTGAACATACCTGTATCTGTTTATTAAGGCTGGTTAGTTGTCATTCGGGCCATTTCCAGTTTGTCCAACCTTGTCTATGTATATATAACCTGTTTCTATTCTTGTATTCGGTCTCATATAGTCTTGGTCTTTGATGCGCCTGGTATACTTGTCGTTTTCTAGGTGTCTGTTAGAAATATTATCGATTTGTTCTACATTTTATCGTGGCCATTATACAAAATGTATTGTCCGCGATTAAGTATAAAGTAATTTTTGTCTAATGTAACAACCTATAGCGTCATTCTAAATCATGTAGTCGATGGCATTTAAACTACGTGGACATTTGACGACTAGACCCCATGGACAGTCTTTTGTGGGACGAAATATAGGCCAATCGATGTACACCGTAAGGATATGAAATATTAGACGAATCGATCAACAAAGGAAATAGATGACCTACATTCATTTAAAATGAATAGGCGTTGCACCTAAAATTGCAAAGAACAAAAATGCATATTTAAATTCTTCGAATTAGAATTAGAAATATGACAAGATATAGCTAAATAAATCGGACCAAACTGTCTTGCGCGTGTGCGTGTGTGTGTATGTGTGCGTCCGTGTGGGTTGAGCATGTGACTGTCATCAAGACTGATTGAGTCAATTTCCTCCTCATGTTGGTGATGCCGTAAAACTAAGGTATACACCATTGTCTATGTGAAACACAATCAGATCTCGATTTTTGTTTAGATTGTTGCTTAACCAGATCTAAAAACCGATTTTTTTTTTTTTTTTATTTATTTTTTTTTCTTTTTGGTATTTTTTTGTAATTTTTATCTGTAACTGTTTTTTTAATGTGTTGAATGCATGTAAAACTAAAAGAAAATTACAACAAAAGAAAAAAAAGAGATTGTTTTAAAAATTATATCATGAATTTATTTTAAGAGCATTCTTCTCAAACCTTGTACACCCTAGTGGGAGCATACCAGGCATTCTACCATTAGTACATTGCATTGCTGTATATTATTTGCTACATGTTTTCCTATGATATATAATAATGTTCTTTGTAATTGTTGGGATTATAATTCTGATTTCATCCTTTATATGTTTTCATATGTCATATGTTTAATTTAATGTCGTTTTCCATAGTACCGTGTTTGATATTCTGACCTTACTGTTATTGCTATTCTGACCTTACTGTTCCTAAAAATAATATTTTTTAAATGTTTAGTTTAAACGGAAAGATACACAGATTGCATAAGAAGACTTACTTAGACATGGTTTAAATGTAAGCCAATATGGTGAAAACATATTACCAGTTGGCTTATTACCAGCAGAAAATCATTTGGCTGTACATAGATGTAGTCATACACTGCAAATATTCACAATGAAAAGAACTTCCGTAAGTTCTTGATATGTTTTAAAAAAAATAGATGAACATATATTTCTATGCGCTTGTTACATCAATCGTTAGTACTGTGTATAAACAGAAATGTTCTTCGCATTGAATGTAACTAAACAATAATCATATGTACAGTATGCAGACCTATCTGTGGGCAAATATTATATGAACTTTAAGCTGGCATCCTATTCAAATCAAGCAACTCTTGTGTTTTTTGTATCCTTAAAATTGCAAATTTATGTTTTTTCTGTATAGCACTTGGCGAATTGAGTTGAACCTAGAAATGATATTTTATATTTTAAGTCATATACACTTGTCATCATGTATATCACAATGGCGGGGAAAATTTATGTAGATGATACTCTGAAAATTATGTAAGAAATAAAGTGACAAGACTTTTTTTCTTCTTGCGAATATGTAAGCTACTTATACCATTTCTTTGTCTTCCTCAACAAATTACTAATGTGTGTTTCTCTACCAGATCGTTCATCAGCTTAACATAATTTTACTTGCAAGAGAATCAAAGAGTTTGCAACAAAATGTTTAATAAATTATTGGAATAAACGTCTGGCATTGATATCTCTCTCATGTGTAAAGTGTTTTCGAAAGTTAATCAAGGTGCGGGGAGGGTATAATTATTATACAGTCAAAATGTAACACATTGTCATCAACGGGTACAGGCAAGTATTTAACACCAGAGGGACGGGAAATAGATTTCACCCTCGCCTTTAACATTAGTTAGTGTAGATTATGCAGGTTAGAAGGGGGAGAGGGGATTACACTTCCATGATGATACATGTAACAGAGAGGAGCATTTGCGAGAGAGAGTTTTTGTGTGTATTGAAGAGAGAAGTATTTACAAAGAAGAAGAGGGAACTGGAGAGAGAAATGTAGAGAGATCTAAAGAGGGGGAGAGAGAGTACGGAAGAAAGAACTAAAGAGGGGAGAGAAAGGGAAAGATATTTAGGGAACATGAATGCGGTCCCTCCGTTCCCGGAGTAGGTGAGGGGGCAGTGCTTGAATAATTATAAACAGTGGCCAAGCTACGTGGGAGCACAGAACACGTGCCCAGAAATAGTGATTACTGGTCAAAATGAAGAGAAGTAAACGGAGAATAAGAATGGGAGATAGAAAATGGGTAACGTGAACTGGTGAAATATGATGATACAACCCTTTCCACAGGCGATATTTACTGTGTTATTCCTGTACTGAGTGGAAGGGAACGGGATATTAGAGAAAGAGAGGATAAGGAGGGGGCAGACAGCGACACAAAGAGAAGGGGGCATGGTAATAAAGAGAGAGAAAAGAGAAACAATTAAAGGTAAAGACCAGTTTTGTAAACGCCTCCTTCTCAAAAAAATGAAATGGAAGCTCGTATTACCAATCATGTGAAAGAATATGTTTTGACTAATACGTGATGATACAAATTTTGCGGGAAAACCGCCTACTAATTGATATATTTTGTAAATTATTATATCTATCTGGACTGGATAGATATAGGGTAGTCCCATATACATGTTTCTGTGGACAGTGCTTGTAACTTTACCAAGACTGGGCCCAATTTCTTATCATTTTGATGATTCCAGAACCTTGCAGTACACACCAATACTTATATGCTAGATGGAGGAGCATTAGTTTACTGTTCTACACCTGTTCCCCCTTCCCCTATGATACCAGTGCCCTCCCCCTACCAATGCACGGACCCACCATACCCCACTGTTTACGAGTGTGCTGACCTATTGAACACACTGATGAAAGAACATACCCCCCTCGGGCTAATCCTCACCAACACATACATTATGACATTTATTCGCTCTACGTTCTGCACTTCAACATGCCGACATGTAGAATCTTCGGAAAAAACGATCGCAATTATTTTCGAAAAGTCAACAGATCAACTCAAGAGCAGTTTTAGTACTCTATTGAATGCCCGATCGAAATCATGTTCTAACTACATGTACGTAGTACCTCATTGTTATGTTTACACATTTAAATTGCTTTAGGTTGAATTTCCGAAAATAGTTGGTACCATGTTTTAATTATATGTTATTTGTTTAACAGTGAACGTGCCGACATAGAATCTTCAGAAAGCACGCTCGTAACTATTTTCGAAAAGTCCACTGATCAAGGAAAGGGCAGTAATTTAGTACTGTATTGTATGCCCGCTAGAAATCATGTTCTGATTACGTTTTTAATACCTCATTGTTATGTTCGTACATTTCAAAAGGTGACGCACAAAGCTAATCTAAATTATTCTAGGTTGATTTTCCACACATCCACGCTGGACATCCGAGGGGGTAGTTTTCGAGGGGTAATTGTCATGGGTAGTTGTTCGAGTTGTAGTTGCCCGGGGATAGTTGTCATAGG